AATATTTTAAAACCAAACAAGAAATTGTGTTTTAAAGCCTTAGGTTAACTTTTATTGGCTTTCCATGATTTAGAAATTATTTATTGGACACTTACAACACTGAGGATTTTTTTTAAAAATGAATTTAAGTCATGGTTCCTAGTGAAATTATGATACAATTATATTTTTAATGATGGGGTTCAAGACACACTCCCTCAAAATATGGCACTTTGGCATACCAAAAACCTTAAACTGAAGGAGCTTAAGGAAATGGCAGAAGCCAGAAGGTCACTGTGACTTTCTCTCCTTGCCCTTCTACCCTGAGACAGGTCATAAAACTCACATGTGAATGGTACCCTCTCTGTACAAGGAGGAAAGAAGACATTCTTATTACCAGAGATGGGAACTTGGGAGCCAAGAAGACTGTATAAACAAACCCTGTTAAACTAACCCTACCTTCCTAGTTACTTCTTCACCATTAACCACACCTAGCCGAAGTCCCTTTGCCATGCCAGTTCTCCACATATTTATTGTTTCTTTGTCTAAAAGGTATAAAAGATTCCTGTTCTGGTCACCTCTTCAAGTCTTCATTTTCTTGTGCAGGTTCCCATGTATATGTAAAAATTCAATGAATTTGTATGCTTTTCTCCTCTTCATCTATCTTTGTCAGTTTAATTTTCAGACTCAGCCAAGGACCCTAAGAGGCTTGAGGAAAACTTTTTCCTCCCCTACATGGTAACCTATGTTTAATGTGTTGGTATATAATTTCTGATCATTCAGTTTTCTACATTTAATATTTATTTCCAGAAAAGTTTAGTACCGTATTTGCCGGCGTATAAGACGACTGGGCGTATAAGAGACCCCCTAACATTTCCACTCAAAATACAGAGTTTGTTATATACTCGCCATATAAGACTACCCCCTCTTCCGCACACCTTCCACACACCAAATAAAAGGTAAAACAATATCAGATTTGATTTCAACATTTATATTTATATTCAAATGCTTATGACATGCAGGAAAACTGTCACAAGGCTGTATGTAATCAAACATATACATAAATCGCGATTCGCGATTTTGCGCTATCATACTGGGTGTATGGTCGGCTGTGTGCGATTTTGCGAGTGTGGTAAAATCGCATAACAGCAAAATCGCATAACAGCAAAATCGCATAACAGCCGAGCATACACCCAGCAGCGCTGCTGATGCCTGAACGGTATGTGGAATGAAGTGGGCGGGCATCGGGAGGCCACTATGGCACGGGGCAAGCACTATGGGCAGTCTATCTGAAGTGTACCTGGCGTATAAGACGACCCCCCACTTGGAGGCATATTTTTCAGGGCCAAAAAATCGTCTTATACGCCGGCAAATACGGTATGTGAAAAATAAACAAAGTTGTTGAGTATCTATCAGGTTGCTAGGAGGGATGGGTAATATCAGGAAAGTGACTTAAAGGGAAGATGCGTCCTACAGTGACAGAGTAGCTGAGAATTAAAGGGAGTACTGGAAGAACTAAGGGAAACTGAACATGTTAAAAGTGGTGTTTATAGAAGTAGCAAGCATGTTTCTCATGAGAAGAGATAGGAGTCGGGCAATAGTTGTTATGAGGTCAGGGACCATATTTCTTGCTCAGAGTTGTATCCTTGGTGCTTGGAACTTCACCAAATATTTATTAAATGGATAACTGATAGAATTATATTGAAAAGAGGCTATTCTATACTCAAAGGAGAGGAGTATGCTTGGATCAAGCTTAGATACCCTCTACAATTATTCTTTGATTCTTTAAGGTATGATGAACCACTCCTCAATTTGGAAAACCCTGAGCTACATAAGCTACAAGAAAAGTCACAGTGTATTTACAGTTCATCTTTCTTTAAATTTTCTAGTTATGTGTCCAAAACTGATAGAGTAACCTTTAATGTTTCTGTTGTTGATTTCAGTGGTAGCAACTGAAATTCTCTTGTCATTTGGGTCACAAAAATGAGTTAGACTGTGACATTTGACCAAATATTTTTTTCCATGTCTCTGGATATTGATTGGGATGTGAGAACAAGAACATCAACTGAATCTGTCATGCTTTGCATAAAAATTGACACTATTTATAGAAAGTATTTCCATTATCCTTGCAATGACCCTATTCTTTCAGGTACTAGAGAGTTTCCAGAGATACAGTTGAGAGGAAAGTTGCCAGGGAACCATAGATATAAAAATTCAGAATAATGGCTTCAAGTTGATGCATTATCATTACAAAGTCTCCTCTCTCTTCATTGTCAATATTCTTCTTTTTTCACTGCTTTTATTTGCATTTTTCAGTAGGGAGAATCTTAGGGAGCACAGAATCTTATTTCCTGCCCATATTTTGCTAGGGGAAACAATAAGGGAAAAGGAAAACCTTTTTTTTTTCATTTTTCCCTTCTTAAGAGCAAGGAATCCTATTACAGTGCTTTTTAGTAATGTTGTGTATGAGATTTTATAGAACATTCTAAGGAGTTTTAAATTAGGAATGATTGATAATAAATCCCTTAGTAAGGTGGAATTCACACTTTCCCCTAGCAACTGCTCAACTGAAATTTTGCATCAGGTTAAAAGAAATGAGTTCTGACACTCACAGATTGAACCTGGAGTTGTAGGTCATTTTTCTCTTGCATTAGGGCTACCATTTTCTCTTCAAGTTCTTTCCTTTTTGCCTCTGATTTAGCCAGCTCTTCTTTGGTCTTCTCAAATTCTTCCTTCATGTTGGCCATCTCCTTCTCTGTCTCTGCACTCTTCAGGAGGGGCTTGATCTTGAAATACAACTTCATCCAGGGCCAGTGCTTCACATTCATGAAAGCACGGACATTGTACTGGATGCAGAAGATGGACTCTCTGTGATAGGAACAGAAATTTTCAAAGTCAGGTTATAACAGGAATCAGAATTGAAAAGCCTAGGCTGATGGGGTTTATAGTAAGGTGTCCCTATTAATACCTTCTTTCCACCATCTTCTGGTACTCCACTCTTGCCAAGAACCCTCTGCACCTGGCCTGAGTTCGGGTAATCAGCTGGGCTAGCTTGTCATCTCGCATCTCCTCTAGAAGCCCCAGGAGACCAGCTTTGAAAAAGACCTGAGCATGGGTAGAGTTGCAGATCAGAAACTTTACATAAACTTCAAAGGGAAGGGAATAGCATCGGATAGACCTTAGAGACTATTACCTTGGTGTGACCAAATCTATACTGGGTGTGGTCAATGTCAATGGACCCAAGGAGCTTCTCAGAAGCCTTCTTGCTGTCGATGAACTGTCCTTCAGGGATAGCACTTGCATTTAACACCTTGTATCTGTTTAAGTAAAATAAATAAATGATATAGCTGTTGTCATCAACAAGGAAACTTCCTGCCTTACTATAGAAACAATATAGTTGTTGGGTAGTCTAACAAATATAAACAAGAAATTGTATCTTTTTTTGTGTGTGTATATTCAAAGGGTATCCAAGTTTTGGTATGTCAATACAGAATCTGTTAAATTTGTTTCTCTTCTTCTCCTTAATTCTAATAGAAGGTATAAATGATTCTTTCATTGAAAAAATAAAGTAAATAAGAAGACTCTCTTAAAATAACTCATATGAGAAAGTCTGACCTCTGTTTGAAGTCTGCATACAGGATTCTGCTGGGGAAGCCCTTCCTGCAGATCCGGATGCCTTCCAGCACACCGTTGCACCTCAGCTGGTGCAGGACAAGCTCATGCTCCATGGCCCCTAAAAGGGAGAATACACATGCCTCATCTTGTGGTCTAAACCAAACACACTGGCGCTTGTCTGGATATGGGAAATGTCTTACCGGGAGTTTTGGTTTCATTGGGGATGATGCACCGTACAAAGTGAGGGTGAGTGCTCCTCAGGTTGGTCATCAGCTTGTTCAAATTCTCCTGTGGGACCATATGAATATGGGGTTTAAAAGTGTACTATTTTCATACATTCATATTTACAGACATAATCATTGTGATCCATGATATCCATTCAATTCTAATGAATAGAATCCAAATTTGAATTTGCAAAGAGTCATCTCTGGAATTTCCACATTCCCAAAGTAGCCTTCCACTTCCTATTTTTGTGCATTATATACATAGCTTTCTCCTAGATGTTGAAGTGATTGTTCAGTGCTGTGGAATTTGATAGCATATGTTGTAAATTTAGAGTGACATTCAAAACATATGGAAATACTCTGCCCAAACTCTTTAGCCTAGAGATGTAGGCTGGTTTTACAAATAATCCAACGTCTTCCTCCAAATCTCCATTTCTTTCTTTACCCAGCTTTCTTTTTTTTTCTTTTCTTTTCTTTTCTTTTTTTTTTTTTGCCTTTTCTTTCTTTTCTTTACCCAACTTTCAATTGTATCTGCTTCCCTATCGCAGGCTTAGTTCTTATCATAGTTAGAGAGCTATGTCTTCCTTCTTGTTCCATAGAAAGTGGCCTTTTAATGCCTCATGCTGGGAATTGGCAGAAAACTGACAGGCGTGTTTCCAAGTGTGAGATATTTTGCAAGGAAATTCTGGTTTTTCAGAATAACTAGAATGTCAGTTATCCTAGATGTGATTGTCAAAAGAAAAGTAAGTTTTCCGTAAAGAGCTAGTTCTTATTGTATCTGGTTACTTACTCTTTTAGCTCCAATTTCCATCACTATTCTATCCTTAACTTTCAAAGTCTACTCATTTCAGTTCTATACCAATATACACCTAGGCACCTACATTATTTTGAGGCTCCCAAAGCTTCAAGCAAATCTCATGTCTTGCTCAATCCTATCCCAGTAGACCCTTTTAAGTGTCAAAGGACCTTATTTCCCAGGCCCCAAATTGAATTTTACCATCTGATACTGACTTCTGCAATTCACTCGCATCCCTCCCAAGGCCCGTGTCTCCCATATTCTACTGAGCATCTCTTCCAAACCATCTCAAACTTCCCTGTGACTCAGCTCTACCATTTCCATGAGTCACATCCAGTTCTAGAATCCTTGCAAGAATACTTCCCCTTTTCCACCCAATGAAGTAAAATTTAATTTCCTGAATCTATTGTAATTAGAGAAAAGGAAGTGTGTACCCTGAAGAGAGCAGACACCGTCTGGAAGGAAGAGCCCTTCTTCTTGCCACCTTTCTTTCCACCAGACTCTAAGGAGGGCAGAGAAAGCACAAGCAATCATACACGCACTTTCTCTGTTTATGTTTTAAACATTAAGCAAAAGATTAATTCTACTGAAAATTACCTGCTTCAGCAGCTGCTGCTGCCCCAGAGAAGAGGTAAGCTAGAGTCTTCATAGAAGATTTCTGGTACAGCCCGACCACAGTGTCATTCAGGGGGTCCTTGTTCTTCTCCAGCCAGCCGGCGATGTTGTAATCCACGGTGCCCGCGTAATGCACCAGCGAGAAGTGGGCCTCGGCCTTGCCTTTGGCAGGCTTGGGCTTCTGGAAGTTGTTGGATTTTCCAAGGTGTTGTTCATAAAGCTTGTTCTTGAAGGAAGTGTCTGTGGCCTTGGGGAACATGCACTCCTCTTCCAGGATGGAGAAGATGCCCATAGGCTGAAAGAATGCAAGGAAACAAATGCCATTTTAATTTTGTCTGATGTAGAAATAATATGTAAAATTATGATACTATTTGAGTAAATGTATCCTTTACTTCCTTATAGCTAATGAAAATTCATTCCTTTGGCCAGATTTCTTAGTTTAACAAACATTTCTCGGGTATCTATCAAGATTTAGGTGCTGTGTCAGGCTCTGAGATGTGATGGATAGTGAGAGAAACAAAGGGTGTGCTCTGGTGGAGTTTGTGTCCTTGCCCCAAAGGCATTAGAGCAATATTTCTCTGAGTGTGACTTGCAAATTAGTTGCATCAGAGTCATGTGATAAAAAATGCAGATTCCAAGGTTCTACCCCACACTCACCAAAAAGCATTTCTAGGGGTGAGATTAGGGAAATCTGTAAGTGTATTACTTATGGTGAGTCTTTGGCACAACTGAAATTCAAGAACCTCCACTTTAACGTACTAGAAATGTATATTTCAAATGCCAATGATATCTAAGGATGACAAAAAAATAAGTAAAAGATACTCTTGTCAGTGCTCTTGTATAAGGAAAGATGGTTTTAAATATAAGACTTTGTACTGCAAAAAGAGTCGGCCGAGTGGCTCAGTTGGTTAAGAGCTCGCTCAAGAGTTTGAGCTCTGAGCAACAGCGGTTCGATTCCCAGCCCGAGCTGAGCTGCCAACAGGTGGCAGGATGGCTCAGCTTAAAAAAAAAAAAAGACTTTGCACTGCAAAATGTGGGGAAAGGTAGAGGCCTGGAGTCTATGGAAAATATTCAGTCTCCTTTACCAGAACACCTACCTCAGAGATGGCAAAAGGAGCTTTCCTGATTTTGCTTACAAGGAGCAATCTTTTACCACAGTAAATACTAAGATTTTGTGACTTTCTTTTAAATGCTGTTCAGCAGTACAATCTGCGATCTGAAAAAAGCAAGCGAACCTTCTCGATGAGCTCGATGCAGGCAGCCAGGTCCATCCCGAAGTCAATGAACTCCCACTCGATGCCCTCCTTCTTGTACTCCTCCTGCTCCAGCACGAACATGTGGTGGTTGAAAAACTGTTGCAGTTTCTCATTGGTGAAGTTGATGCACAGCTGCTCCAGGCTGTTGAACTACAATAAGTACAAAATACAAATGAACATTCATTTTATAATAAAACCTTCTTTTTGATAAGGGGCTTTTCTTAGTTGCCTAGCAACTGCCCTGTTAGGATGCGACGGCTTCACCCTGACTGTACAAGCCCCTCTCTCCCTTCTATGTCTTTTTTGCTGCTGTGGGCTAGGAAGTGTCACCACACTTGATGGAGGTATCTCCTAAATAGGAGTAAACAGGCTCTGCGTGATACTTCCCTATGCAATTAAACAATTATTGGGTTTTTACTATATCTATTTTTGTGGATCAGAGGTTTCCTGGTAATTTATGCCTTTGTGGTTATGTTGTATAACTAGCTAAAGTTGATACCTCTGAGCTGTGGTGGTCTGTATATTGTTACTAATAATAGAAACAAAAACTCAACAAATAACATTTGTCGAACATTTCCCATATGCTAGACACTATGCTAAGTGCTTTGTATAAATTATTGCATTTAATCCTCATGACCATCTTTTTAAGGTCATACTATTTGCCCATCTCACGGGTGAGGGACATTATTAGGAAGGCTACATAACCTGTGCAAGACCCTGCTAGGAAGAGGCACAGTGAGGGTTCCAATGTTTTTTGTGGGTTTTTTTTGGGGGGGCAAGACAAAAATAAATAATACACATTTAGTAGGCACATTATATATTGTACTAGAGGGTATAAGAGCTATGAAATAAAAGAAAAAAAACAGAGTAAGTTCAGGGTAACAGGAGAATGGTTGGGGTTCCAATGCTTTGACACCAGAGACAGTGTTTGTAACCAGTGTTAGAACTTGAGGAGACATGCTCTGCTTTGCTATTCAGGACCCCTAGATCTAAACACAATTGGGAGTGCTCTTGTCTAAGAATTGTATCACCATACACAAAAGTCAAAGGGGTTTTACCACACGGATGAACCTTGCAAACATTATGCTAAGTGAAAGAAGCCAGTTATAAAGGACTCTATATTGTATGATTCCATTTATATGAAAGGTCCAGAAAAGGTCCATAGAGACAAAAAGCAGATTAGTGGTTGTTCAGGGCTGGGGGAGGGGGAAGTGATGGATGACTTAATGAGGATGGGGTTTCTTGTTGGGGGTTGAACATGTTCTACGATCGATTGTCATGTTGATTGCATATATCTGTGAATATACTAAAACCATTGAATTAAGTACTTTCAGTAGATACATTTTATGATATGGGAATTATATATCAATAAGTATGTTATAAAAAACATTCAAGAGGTTGTAAGTATGCACTGTCGTTAGTTTTCTAATTTGAAAAAGTGTGAATTGCTCTTCTTGTTCCTGCTTGGTGCTGGATTATTCTTCTCTTCCCATGTGGACTTGGGAATCTCTGGAAATGTTCTTGTCCCTAAATCTCAGAAAGATTCCTCCTGTGTCTATCTGTCCACTCATAGAAAAAGGTGTAGAAACACGACCTGTAGATCGGACACATCTGTGATACTGCTGTCACATAGAGAACTTCAGTACCCTCATTTCCTAAGCTAGAGGGGAGGTATTCCTTCTTAGGCAGATAAATTTGAGTTTCTTTACAATGCCATTTCCATCCTCTGCACCTGGATACTGCAGGGCACGTAGGAATCTTGAAACTTATCTTTGAATTTGTCATTGTTTTCCCCACTGTCATCTTTGCTGTCATTGTGGCCCTCATCACCTTCTTTATCACTTACTGAGTACTAGCTGTGTCCTTGGGGTCTGTGCTTAGGGCTTTAAACTCAGATTTCTTGTAACTGGCAGAATGATCTCAGAAGTGAATGTGTTATTTGGAATGCTAGGTGACTTACCTATAGATCCTTGCTGAATTTGCCCTATGATTGGTCAGATATCATGCACATTATCTAAGTTCACACAGGTAGGAATTGACAGAGGTGGAGTTTGAGCCCAGGTCTGTCTCATTCCAAAGTTCATGCCCTTTCATAGACTTTGGGTCTTCTTTCATGTGTCTAGTCTGTAGTACAGCTATTTTTCATAGGCTTTTTCCAATATTGACGGCAGCAGCATGATTTGTAAACTTTCCTGCTACAAAGTTTCTGTAAACTCACATCAAAGATCTCAAAGCCAGCGATGTCCAAGACCCCGATGAAGTACTGCCGGGGCTGCTTGGTGTCCAGCTGCTGGTTGATACGGGTCACCATCCACAGGAACATCTTCTCGTAGATGGCTTTGGCCAGAGCGCCTACTGAGTTGATCACCTTCATGGACAGAGTAATGTTTTTGGTGTTATTAAAGACATGTTATGAAGGCCTAGGTTGTGTGTGATTCATTGAAGTTGTGCACTTACCTGCTGCACAGTCTGGCCTTTGGTGACGTACTCATTGCCAACCTTGACCCTGGGGTAGCAGAGGGCTTTGAGCAGGTCAGCAGAGTTCAGACTCTGGAGGTAGGCTGCCTTGTCAGCAACTGTAGAGACACAATTCAGGTACCCAATATGACCTACTGTGTGCCCCATAAGTCATAGGGACAGAGTAATTAGTGAGACACAATTCAGGTACCCAACATGACCTACTGTGCACCTGATAATTCATAGGGGCAGAGTAATTAGTGAGACACAGTTCAGGTACCCAACATGACCTACTGTGTACCCCATAATTCATAGGGCAGAGGAATTAGTGAATCACTTTATAGAAGCTCTGTGTGAGGGTAAAGTTGTATATGTCCATCAGAAGCTCAGTCGTGTAGGAGGCATGAGTTTGAAATGGGCTTTTTGGACCCAGATTCTCTGATTAAACACAGATGGAGCTTCATTTGGTACCTTCGGTGCCATCTGGCTCTGCTTGCTCCTCACGCTGCTTTTGCTTGAACTTCATGTTCCCATAATGCATCACAGCTCCTGTGAGTTTATAGATGGACACCCTTTCATCAGAAGTGAAGCCCAGGATGTCAATGGCGCTCTACCAGGAGAAATGAGAGAACAAAAATTAGGGCAGAAGACCCAAATTTATTTAGGAGAATTTATGTCTGTAAATTATCTATAACCACACACCTACGGCATGTTGTTATTGTCATTCCCATACATAATGGATTTTTACAAAACTGCATGTGTAACTTACATCTGTGGCCATCAACTCTTCCTGGTCATCTATGCTGGGGACTGTGATCTCCCCTTGACTGACAAAAGCATAGTCATACGGGTTGGTGGTGATCAGGAGCATTTCTGGGTGCATAGAATTCAGGGGATACGTTTTACATTCGGAGATGTTAATAAAATGATTAACTTCTAGCTTATAAATTTAAGCTCTTTCTTACCAATTAGATCTGGTTTCTTATTAGACATGATCTGATAAAAAATATGGTAACTTCTTTCTGCCTTTAGCTGGAAAGTAACTCTAGACTTCTCCAGAAGATCTGCAATGCAAAATAGACATCAGATGGGGGTGGGGAATTATAAAGTTCCTGGAGTGATTTTGGCACTTAGGATAATTAACTCAATTTCATTGGCCCCTTGAGATTTCAGCTGAATGCCTCCACGAGGCATCACATATTACACCTCTACAATGGCAGCTGCTCTTTCCATCTCTAGAAATAAACTGAAACATGCTGGCCCAAGGCATATTCATTTCTCATACACTAGAGCCTTGACATTTGAAATATAATTGATTCTTGATAACCCCTCCGTCCCCAGGGTCTCTTCTAACTTTGTAATAGAGGGGCTACTAAAACAACATTTATCCAGGCTCAGATGAGGAAGTAATCGCATATACTCAAGCCATAGGCAACTCGTTTACCCCCACTGTTAGTTTTTTTCTTAAAAAAATTTAAAATTCGTTTTGAGGCTGGACTACATCAGACAAGCCCAACAGCTCCTGACAGTAACTACAGAATCATTAGCTCATGACTGACATGGCTAAACCACACTGTGGACTGGCATTAACCAGATAAGACTGGATAAGACTGGCATTAACCCTGAGCACGTTTGGCAGCAGACTGCAGTTGCACAGGCGCCAGACTCAGTAGAAGTTGCAAAATGTTCCTCCAAACCATCATTTGTCATTCTTGGATTCTATTTAGGAGGTTCTGTTACTCACATGTTTCAATATCAGCAGAAGCCAGTTTCCCCGTGGTACCAAAGTGAATCCTGATGAATTTACCCTTGCAAGTAAAAAGATGATGTTATCTACACAACTTGAAGCACACAAGAAAGAGGAGATTGAAATGATAATTCAGACATGCTTTCTCTGGCATTTAAGGGCTGAGTAAACCCTTCTGTGTCCAAGAGACTTACAAAGCGCGAGGAGTTGTCATTCCTCACGGTCTTGGCATTGCCAAAGGCCTCCAGCAGGGGGTTGGCGCTGATGATCTGATCTTCCAGAGTCCCCTGCAAAGGCAAGAGCAGTCCTCACATCTGGGGCTCCAGACTTCCTGGGAGCCCGGGCTGCCTTGATCCTGACTCTGGCTGTCAGACTCACCTGCATTTTGCCAGTTTCCTCCTTCTTCTTCTCTCCAGTGACAGCAATTGTTGCAAAGTACTGGATGACACGCTTGGTGTTCACAGTCTTCCCTGCACCAGATTCTCCGCTGTCAAACAGTGATCAGACATATGTGAGAAATTAAGCTATGTGACAAACGAGGCTACTCCCATCAGCATTTACTACCAGTGCATCTGTTTTTACATGTCTTTGTCAGAGTCTACTGGATCCTTCTATGCAGCCTACATACGGCTCATATTACTTCTATTGTTTAGCACTGAGAAGAAGTAGAGAAACTTATTCATTATTCATGTAACACACATTTCTTCAGTGTTTAAAATATGCCAGGCTCTCTTCGAGGTGCTGAGGCCTGGGCTTGAGGGTTCCAAAAAGCAGCCACTCAACAACTAGGTAGTAAATGAAACTTAGTAAAAAACACTATGAAACAATTCAAATGTTCTTCAGTTTCCTTCCACCAAAGACAAGGCCCAACTTACGTCTTTCGAAAAATAGACATCCTCAAGGGGGCCTTACAAATGAACCACTGGTAACATTCCCAAACTGCTCACCCTTCAGAAGGCTGTGTGCTGCTCTCTGTCCTGTACCAGCTTCTGGCTATGCCCAGAGAAGGGGTTTTACATCCCCTCCTCCCAGGTAAGTCCTGTGGAACTTTCAAGACTGGATGAACAAGTGATGTAATTTTTGGCATTGGTTTATATTTTGATGCTATCTAAACTCTACAATAAAGTGAAAACAATATCTAGTTCCAAGCTGATCACGCCATTGCTTTAGTATATGGGCATTAATTTATTCTATCGGCTTGTCATTTTCCCAGTGAGAATACAATATTAGTAAGACTCAGAAGAGTAATACATACGTGATAAGGATGGACTGATTCTCCCGATCTGGAAAGAAAACAGTGGACAGTCAGCATGCATACCAGTTACACAAACACAACTTTGTATAGGGAAATGCTTAGGAAATTGAGGATAACTGTCATTTCCAATGGAGTTTTTCAATACGTTATTGTAAAGTTATATATGGTATTATTCTCATGCCTCTAGTTGGGGTAGAGAGACATAAAACATTGTCATATCTTAAATTCCTTAAGCCTCCATAGGAAGTGTGCCCTGGTTTAAAACAAAGAGCAGAAATTTCCAAAGGCAGATACATTCCCTAATTGTCATCTGCAATTTCAATGTCGTGCTGTCTGCTGATTAATGCATATAACTGAAAAATGTGTAATATGCTAAGGGTTTGGACTGTAGTTTAATAGGTTAAAATGGTATTAGTCAAGCCAAGGTTGAGATTTACTTTCTAAATGGATCAGTTGGACACGGACACACACACACATACACACACACACACGCACACACACACACACACACACACACCCCTTTGTCTGATAGCCAAAGACCGCAACCCTAACTCTGATGAGTCTTCCCAAAAGTATGACATTGGGACCAAGAAAGGTGAGGTGAAAAATGTGCTTCAATCAGAATAAAATCTTTTTAAGGGGGGAAAATAACTACTTTTGTTTATATGCCTATAGCCCCCAAACACCATCTTCATTCAAAGGAAAGATATTATATCTGAAATGGTCTCTGATGAATTAAAAGAGATAGCAGTACTTCTAAAAGTATCTAATTCATAATCAACAAGAAACTTAGGCACTAAAATGATTGAACATATATTTTTCATTTCTATTCAGACAATATGATTCAGTTGTTACTGAATCTTACTTTGTTATTTAAATGCATAAAATAAATCATGTATTTTCAAGCAGGGAGACTAAAAAAAACTTAATAGGGATGGATCAATAGCATGGTCTGGTAAAATCATGGAGGGGGAATCAGTAGAGCTGAATTTTAGTCCCTGCTTTCACAGAGTGTACCACTCTGTGGTTTAGTCACCTCTTCTGTACAACTAAGAGGTTGGAATAGATTATTTCGAAAGGTCATTTTAGCTTTAACATATGTGATTATAGGTAGTAAAATAATTCATATGCAAGACAGTTGAGCCACTCACCAGTCAGCATGAACTGATAGGCGTTGTCAGAGATGGAGAAGATGTGGGGCGGGGCCTCCTGGCGCTTTTTGCCTCGGTAGGCACCCACCACCTCGGGGTTGTACACCGGCAGCCACTTATAGGGGTTGACGGTGACACAGAACAGGCCCGAATAGGTCTGCACCAAAAAGAAAAATACATATTATTTTATGGGAACCTTAATAATCTACTTTTTGTCAAAAATATTAACTACTAGTAAGTGAGCAGAAGTCCATGAGATCAAACTCACGTAGATCATCCAGGCTGCGTAACGCTCTTTGAGGTTGTACAGCACAGCGGGCTCGTGGAGATGGGTCATCATGGCCATGTCCTCGATCTTATCGTATTTGGGAGGGTTCATGGGGTAGACTTGGTCATCTTTCACAGTTACAGTCTGTCAAGTCAAACAAGAGAGGCCAGGTCAAAAAATAAGTGTCAGCACAAATGAGGGACAGTCTAATCATCTCCAGATGTTTTACTCACAGCTCCAGCTTCAGTCTTGGCTGTCACTTTCCCCGATTCCCTGCTCTGTATCGTAGCTTTCACAAAGGACTCCTTAGCGTCCACCACAAAGACAGATGTCTTGGCATCAAAGGGCCTGTTCTGGGCCTCAATACGCTCCTTTTCAGACTTTCGGAGGTAAGGAGCAGCCTCCCCAAAAACAGCCATTTCCTGGTCTCCACTCATGGCTGCAGGTTATTGATGGCAGCCCAGTTGAAGACTTTGCCTGGCTGAAGAATAAAAGATGTTATAGAAATTTAAAAAACTGGACCACCAGATTTACTTAAAAAAATTATTTATTCACTGACCAGTGGAGTGCCTAGTGTTGCATTGAGCGTGACCACCTCCCTGGCTTGGCTGGAGGTGAAATGTCAGCCTCCATGTTCTGTGCCAGTGCTGACAGATACTTAGTCAAATCATGTGTTTGGAAAAAGACTGTGGTTTCTGGCTCACCTACCACATGATATTATACCTGCTTTCTGAGTTTCATTTGTTGTGTACATTAATCTTTATAAGCTGCCTATTATTGGCTTATACAGAACACAAAGCTAAGATGATGACAGGGTGTTCCGCATCTCTTTTACTTATAGTTCTTATCTTCCGATTAGATTATAAGCACCTTGCAAGCAGGGAGCACTTTTCCCTCTATGGCATCCTTCACACCTCTTAGAACACATGCTAGATACAGCGAATGGCTCAAAGCTAGCTTGGGGAATTAAAAGAACAGATGAAATATATTTCTAAAATTCTAGGAACTATTTTGTATGTGGTGAAAATCTTTTCATTATAGATTTGGATTTTCAAAGACTACCCAATACGGGCAAGCGAAAATGTGAGGAACTTTGTTTTGCATTGTTTTGCTAAAATATATTCTATTATTCATCAATTTCTCTTGTTACTGTATCATGATTTTGACAAACGCAGCTTCTTCACCTATCTTTAGTATCCTCAAAGACTTAATATAAGTTATTACCTATATTTTCTTGCTTTATTACTAATATTATAAGAAGTTCACAAAAATTTTCAAGATTTGTCGCTTGCCACTTTAACATTCATTAATCATGTCAATATTGATTGTAGATAACCTATTCTATAATAATAATAAAGTTATCTTTTCCAAGGAAACTCAAAGTACTTGGCCAAACTTTTCCATATTTTTCCTTTCAAACTACACAGATCCAGACAACACAATTAAAATGCGTTGCCTTAGCTCACAATCCTTTTCCATATTATGTTTTTTAAAATTTCCATTTTACAGATTGTGAAACATGTAAGTTTAAGCCACTTTTCCAAGACAAGGATTCAATCTATTCAGACAGCATCTCAATGATTTTTACATTATACAGTGTTGCGTAAAAGCTGTAGTATAGGAAATTTGCATTTTCTCTATAAATGAATAATAATATGGAAATGTATTGTGTATTATAATTCTATTATTTAAAAGACAAAGTAATGTTGGACATTGAAAAGAAGTGTGTATAGAACTCCTAAAAACTCTGAGAAAGCATTTTCATATATTGCAAAGGATATAAATGAATGAGAACCCATTTCTAACATCCCCCTCAGAATTTTTCAAGGGAAGCATGACCAGCCATGAAGAAGAAAAACTTTTATTTCATAACTCCCTGAGCACTCTCCAAACCACAGCAGAAGACTTTTTTTCACCCTGAGAGGAATGAGGAAAAAAAAATCAGTATCTTACCTTAGAGACGCAACCTTGAAGTGGGTCAGAACTAGAAGAAAAAGGACAAATTTATTGTGAATTAAATTCTAACAGTTCCCAAGAATAGCATGCATAACTCTTAACTGAGAACCAGGAAATGACTGGGAACACTGAAACATCAAATTAAAATTGCTCCCGAGTGAGGTGGTGCTTCGCTGGAAGGGCAGCCAGGAGCAATAGGAGCCAGGATGTGTGGCATGCGTGCGGGCAGCCAGACATCCCTTACCGTCCTTCAGAGCCCTGTCCTCACACACACTTACCTTGAAGCTTTATGAGGAAAGACAAGTCATACTCATTCCAAGGTACTTTTATAGGCTCAAATATGGAAAACATGTAGCCTCCTCCTCTTTCTTAAAAAACTATTTGGCCAAACATGTTTTTGGCAATGAAGGTCTCCAAGCATAATTCTCCTCGTATTAAAGATGTTTGGATATAATTAGAAATATTTCCTCTCACATTAGGTTAAGTATATGAATCAATCTCCTATAAATAATTTGAGTTGTTGGCAATCTGCAAGCAATCTGCCTTTGGAATAATGTAAGGTGTTGTTTCAGAGGCAGCTCTGTGCTGGAATCCCTGGACTTTGTTGCCTGCTGCTCTTCTGTTTCAGAGTCGCCTGTGAGAAGTCTTGTCAACTGCCCACACAATTGCAGATATTATACTAGGAAAGGAAGTTCCTGTTCTTTACCAGAGAGTTATAAAAAGATTGTTAGTTCCTCCCGAGAAGGCATAATTTTTTTTTTTGCAAATTTTTGTGCTTTTTCAAGAATGCTGGGAAATTTCATTTTAAAATTTGCTTCATGAAGAGCAGCCAAAGATAGCTTCTTTTGTTTTCCCTAGTCAGTCACCTCTAATTCATCGTCACATCATACCACTCCCACTTCAAACTTGATCCAAAACTGGATGGCCTCGCTGAGTTGAACAATGTCCGGCTTCTCTCCTTATTTTAAATGCAAGTCTCTTGGGAAATCCTGTTTCTTCTATGAAGCTCAGCATAGGGAAATATTAGAGAACAGGGCATTTTTCTGTCTAGAAATGCAGCAGCTATGACTTCTCTTCCATCAGCTACTCATGGAATTGATTTCACAACAATACCTGAACATTGTTTTCTATTCCAATTTTAAATTTTAAAAATATTTGCTTTATTGGTTCTGTGGTCTTGCATCTCTCTATGTCAACACTGACTGTCAGGAACTGACACCAAATTTGCTTACCATGTCCTGTTTTGAAACCATTCCTGTATTATTGTACTTATATTTCAATCAATGTAATGGAAGTAGGTTGCCTTATGAAAACTGATGTCTGGAAATACTGGCTGTAATGGTGACACGATTTTATTATCATCTAATCCATATTCCTTGTTTTACTAATAAAGTGACTGAGATCCAAAGAATAGAAGAGAAACTTCACTAATCACACAGTAATCTAGGTCCTGGTTACCTGATTTACAGTCCAGTGTGCTTGCTGGGAACACTCCTGTACCTGGAGCAGATTAAAATCATTAGGAAGGGTCTTACAGGAGACATTTTTCTGAGGGGGGCGTCCCTAACCAATGCTTAACATGCTTTATTACCACAGGCATATCATTTTATTTTCTTGCATGTGTGTTTTCTTTTTCAGGCATGTGGAAAATGTGGGCAATGATTCTCAGGAAGAGAAAACAATTAAATAATGCTCTCAATAAGATTTGATGGGAATATTAAGACAGCCTCCTGCCCTGCTCTGGATAATTTTCCAAAAAATAGAAAGTAAGCCATTATTTTTGTCATTATTGCCAAGTTATGAGGCACGCAATCATTTACAGGTAATGTGGGAACAAAGTGAAAGAGGAGCCAATGCAGTGAGAAGGGCAATTCCACACCCTTCCGAAGGCCAGTGTGACAGTGTGAAATCTAATTACCAGCTAAACTGCATTTACACATCTAATTGAAGTTATTGTCTCACAGTGCCATTTAAGCCTATTCAGATGGGTGGTTCCCTTTAGCTTTTCTTTTATGCTGTCCAGGAAGGTTGCATCTCAACTGCATCCAGTTTTAAAATTCTTGATCCTCTAGAAAAACTTCTCTGAGTAATTTAGATTGCTACCATATCTGGTTTTTGCATCAAACTCATAACTCATCATTATGTGCATTGAATATATATTTAAATAATCTATTTTTAGATTCATATTTTTTCTATGCTTTTCATCTTTTATTCTGGCTCTTTACCTGATTTTACACACAAAAAAGTGTATATTTCCATAAACTCTGGAAATATAGGCTAATAAACAGCTTATTGATATTACATTATAATATGTAGTATAATATTCTCTTTGTCTCCAGACTTTATAGCTTTCACAGGGAGAATTGCCACATTTCGCTCTTTCTTGCCATACCCATTACCCAATACACATATTGTGAACATACAGTATATTGGTATTAATGATGAAAACTTTCATGTGCTAATACTACTTTGGATTTGTATTCTTGATAACAGTTATTAAAAGCAAGGAGAATTAATGATATAGTTCAGTCTGAATCCCCGTGTGAGAATATAGCTAGTGCCATCCTTTGCATAGACCTGGAAAATTAGGTTCATATTAACAAAAGCAGTTTCCTAAGATCCTACTATCCCCCAGTATTAGGGAAAGTTTAGAAAGAAATACAAATGACTTCCAGATTTCTGTTCATCAGAACTTCCGTACTAAGTGACAATTTTATAGTCTTCAAGTATTACTATAGACCTAAATACCTAAAATAAAAGTGAATAC